CCCTTCCCCCTCCCCGCCGTTGCGGGCATCCAGGATAAAACAACTAAAACATCTGACTGTACTCGCCACGGCTGATCGGAGCACAACCGTCCACTCCAAGCAAGGCGCCTTGCCTTCTTCATATGAATCACAGATTCGAGTATACACGACCGAGAGAAATACATAAAATGTGTGTCCTAAGATGCCACACTCGCCCATGGTTAAATATTTACAAAATAACAGAGGAAAAATCTGCCACCAAAATATAATTTTTTTTCACTCTAAATAATCTAGGGAAATTAACTAATCCACCTCATTCACATCACCCAGGAAGAGCTGGTTGCCCGGAGGCAGCACTCAATCCCCACCGTACTCCCCCTCTACTCTCCTGACCCTTGCTCAAGGTCAACCAACTAGAGGAGGGGCCAGACCGGGGCCCATGCGTGCCGCAGCCGCGGCCAAATGAATCACTCACCCCCGTGGTCTGAAGGAATAGTGAGAGACCTCAACGAAAAGTCACCGCTCAGCTTTACGGTGACCCTAACACAAATCTCTACCTGGCTCATGCACTTGGACAAGTAGTACATGGCTGAAATAGATTGAAATCTGGCTTACCATTGGAATGAATTGAAGTGGAAGTACACCAGACCAAGGCCGTACAAGAAGGTTGGGTCCTTCCAATGATCGGATTTCAAGAAGAAAAAGCGCTGATAAGCCGACAGAGCTGGAGAACAGTAAACAATAAATTTGTTAGTGGAAACGAATATATAGTCCATGGTGATGGATAAACAAACAAGTAGGAAATACTCTCTACCTTTGGGATAGTCTTCAAGTAGCAAATGAAAATGGCCAAGCTTGCAGTATGTTTTAGGGTCAATATTAATATCTTTGTCACTTTCACTTAATCTTTTCAAATCTTCGTCATCTTCATCATCATCATCATCTTCTTCCTCCTCCTCCTCACCATCATCGTCGTCATTGTTGTCAGCACCACAATCACTCTCTTCAACAACTTGGTCCCCAACAGTTCTTTCACTTTCCTTTTTTGAAACTGATGCTTCCCCCTGTTCCTCTTTCACTTTACAGTCAGTAATGTCACTAGTTTCGGACGGTATAGGGGCTGCAGAAATATCTGAGGTGGAATTGTCACATTTCCCTTCATTTTCTGTACAACTTGGATCACTTTTCGTGTCCCCCTCTTCACAAGACACATCCATGGCACAGTCACTGTCATTTTCAATTTTAACAACAGCAAGATCTAGCTTTTCAGAATTATCTCCGTCTTTACTTTTAGATGAACCTTCGCTCTGCTCTTCTAGATTTGAAGGCTTGTCTTTAGATTCAGACAATTCACTTTTACCTTTAGAATCAGAACTTGTACTCGCATTATTTTTCTCAGAATCACAATCACCTGATTTTTCTTTTGATTCATCAGAAGGAGAAACTTTCTCCTCCGAAGTCTTGACACTTTTCTTAATTTTCTTTTTTCTTTTAGGTAAAGGTGGCTTCTTGAATTCAGACTGCATTTTTTGATTCTGTGCTTGAACTAGCATTCTTTGCAAGTACTTAATGGCCTATAAAACGTAACATTAAAATTAATATGACACAAACAAAAGTAAATAATTTCTAAAAAAAATTCTCAAAAAATGAATAACAAAATTAATAATAATAACAGTAATAATTAATAAAATCTTACCTTCAATACCAAAGCTTTTGTTTTGGCATGTTCTGTCGCATTCAGTTTTAGAAATCCAAAGAGTCGACTGAAAACAAACAAAACAAAAACATGAAATTACAGTCACACTTCTCTAAAGCTCCTAACTTTAAATTAAGAAAATGTGAGAAGTTGACATACCAACAGAGCAAATTATACAAAATATAATAATAGTTGCGATAATGATGTAAGGGAACTACAGAAGATTTGATTGCATGAGAAATTATGAGAAGAGATCTGACCCCATTACAGCCTTAAAGAACCTATCAAAACTGTTTTTAAAAGTAATATCTATCAAAATTCATAGGGAGCAAAACTGCCAATGTTGAAGGACTCATTTTACAGTAGCTTATAGCAAGAAATACGCTAAATCTTTGAGAGATATGTGCTGCAGCAAAGGAAGTGGGTCGGATAACTGTTCAGCTTGCTCAGACATTAAGGGCACAAGTATCAACAAAGGAGTGATGTGACTCTACCTGGTTGAGAGGAACATATTAAATGGGAATGGACATAAAATGGTACAAAATTTAACAAGGGTTGACGAGCTTCGTTAATAGATCAACAAACATTCTAACCTACATATTACAGCCGCATAGGAACTAACAAACAAGGGATTAGCGGCACTAGAAAGAGACGCTGGCAGCGATGCTATTGCGACAGTTACACCATAATATTTTATTGATAGTTTTGAAGATTTACATTTTTTCTCATTGACACAATCAGCTGACATCGACTACAAAAACACAAGAGGCTACAAAGTTTACCTGTCAAGTTCCGAGAGCACCTGCAGTTCCTGAGGGGTTAAGTTTATATCATCGTTCTCCTGCGCCATGGTTTGTGGATTTCTTCCGGAATCACACATGCTTATTGTCATGATACGGAGATCATGAAAACACAAGACAATTTCACATCACATAATAACGAAACATAGAAAACACAGACGAAACCGAACATCCCAACGCCCGAATGCACTGCGGTGACCTCGCACTTGGACGTCACTGATTTAGTTGCAGACTACCGAAAAGTGGTAGACATGTAATCAACTTTTGATTCAATTACATCGATTAAGAAGCAAAAACCAAACGAATCGTCAAAAATTTAATTAAAATAGGCAATCTATAAAGGCAAGGAAACGTTATTCAGGTAAATATCAAGATAGTTGTGATAAGTCGAAAATAGAGGAACAGTGACATAGAAGGTTGGTATAAACAAAAGTACCAACTGTTTACAAAAAGCACTGCTCGTATGCTACGCTTACTTTTGATCTTACGTAAATCAAGAACGCAAATAACAGTAAGAAACAATAGAAAATGGTATGATAAATAAACTTCATCAATTAACTTTATTTTTAAGATCAATGTTTAGAATCGAAATTGAAGTAAAAAAGTTAAGTTTGTTTTCGTTAGGATGCTCATGGTCAGCCACGGAAGGTTTTAAAAGAAGTGGGGGCGCAGCATACATGTTCTCAACTTGTCAAATGTATATTGTCTTTTGGTAACATGCCTGGAAAAATGTGAGAGTTTAAATGTGCATTCGAAATAGTTTGCCGTTATTGGTAAATAATTTTAATTCATCTAGTTTAAAACATACGATACAAGTTTGCCACTATTTTCATAGGTAGGTTGTGAGAATTTTAACAAAACCGTACACCCTGCTTTCTGAAATTACTGACTCCTACCCTCCGAGTTCCCTTCCCAATCTACTAGCGCACTCGTGCTATTGCTATTTTCTACCATAGAAATTTAAAGTAGGTATAAATTTGTAGAAGTGCTCCATACCCAAGTACTGTCATCAAGGTTACGTCCCCCTGTACAATGAACCAAAGCTGACGTCGCACTACACAAACAGCAGAGTCGACTTTGTAGCTTTTTCAAACGTGGTTCTGTGAGGTTAGATAAAAATCACAAACATCAACATGAAGTGTCATTATGAAGTTCTTGATGTGGCCCGTGATGCCAACAACGAAGACCTCAAGAAAGCCTACCGAAAAGCTGCTTTAAAGTGGCATCCTGACAAAAATCTGGAAAGCCCTGAACTTGCCAAAGAACAGTTTCAGCTCGTTCAACAAGCTTATGAAGTTCTAAGTGACCCTCATGAACGTACATGGTATGACAACCACAGAGATGCCATATTAAAGGGTGGTTTGGGAGGTGATTATAAAGATGATAGTCTTGACGTCTTTCCTTACTTTACAACAAGTTGCTTTAAAGGATATGGTGATGATGAAGGTGGTTTCTACAGTGTTTATCGTGAAATATTTAACAAGCTTGCAGCAGAGGACTCTGAATACATGGAAGATGAAGACAGTGATTATGAAATACCTGCATTTGGCAATTCGACAAGTGACTTCAAAGAAGTTGTGCAACCATTTTATGCCTACTGGCAGGATTATTCGACTAAGAAGTCGTTCTCATGGTTAGATCAGTATGACATCAAAGATCTCCCTAATCGCAGGGTAGCTAAGCTTGTTGAAAAAGAAAACAAGAAAATTAGAGACAGGGCAAGGAAAGACAGAAATGAGCAGATTCGTAACTTGGTAGCCTTTGTACGTAAGCGTGACAAACGGGTACAGGCTCAGGCTGAAATCGTAAAACAGCAGCAAGCTGAGAAAGCTCGGATTGCAGAAGAGAAGAGAAAATCAAAGGTCAGAGAACGCCAGCAAAAGTTGAAGGATTATAAAGAATCAGAATGGTCAAAATTTTCCAATTTTGAAAATGAGTTAAAAAATATTGAGAAGTCCATTCAAGCAGAGTATGGAGATCATGACTCATCTGATGATAGTGATGTTGGAGATAGTACTGGTGTTAATGAAGAGGAAGTAGTGGATTACGATGCCTTATATTGTCCAGCTTGTCAGAAATTATTTAAAACAGAAAAAGCCTTTGCCAATCATGAAAAGTCCAAGAAACACAAAGAAAATGTTGAAATATTAAAGCAAACTATTTTGGAAGAAGAATTGGATGATGAAGTTGAAGATGAACTAGATGAAGAAGAATTAGGTGATGAAGAAGAGCTGGATGATGAAGAAGTGGGTGAAGAAGAAGAGCTGGATGACAAAGAATTAGATGAAGAGGTTGAAGAAATTGAAGTGGAAGGTGAAGATGAAGTCGAGGATGAAGCTAAGGAGAATGGGAAAGTATCAGGCTTAGATGTTACTGCTAATGGTGGAGGTGATGTTAAGTTAGAGAATGAAAGTGAAGATTCTGATCTTGTGCTTGCCAACACTAAAAGTAAGAAGAAGAAAAAACAAGTCAAGAAAGCAAGTACCTTAAACAACAGTACTGATGAGGATGAGGACTTAGAAGATCTATCAATGCTGTCTAAGAAACAACGCCGCAAACTTCAGCAGCAGCAACCAAGAGTACCTGACATCAAAGCTGATAGTGATAATGAAAATGAGATGGATACGAAAGAGGTGGCTGATGATGAATCAACTTCTGAAAAACAATGTGATCAACCCAAAACTAAATTAAAAGGAAAGAAGGCAAAGGATGCTAGAAAGCTTAAAAAACAAACTGAATCAAGTGCATCTAATACAAATGAAATTGTAAACACCAAAACTCCAATTATAGATTCTTCAAAAAGAAATAAAAAACATGTTGAAGTAGATCCAAGTACAATAGATACAGAACATACGTGTGCGACATGTACGTCTAATTTTGGCTCAAAGAACAAATTGTTTGAACATTTAAAAAAAACTGGTCATTCAATTCACTTACCTAATAAAAAATCAGCCTCAGAGCCTCTTGAGGAAAAGAAGAAAGGAAAAGGAAGACGGAAGTAGTCTGAAAATGTCAATACAATTCTCAAAAATATTCCGTTTGTCAATCTTGTCTTTTATGTCCAATAAAATGATGAGTTCTTGTTGAAGTGATGCATCACTTGCTAACCATTAACTCCTTACAAGTTCTATAGAAAAGTGTAAGAGATGCCAAAGGGAAGACAAGTCAACA